GGGCTGGGAGAAGCAGCTGGGTGCCTGGTTGAGCAAGTCTTGAACCCTGGACCTTTATCAGGACCGCAGGTGTTCAGCTCTGCCCCCAGGCCCTGGCTCTTTTCATTCAGCTTCAGCCCTCTGCAGCCCCTTCCAACGGGACGTCTATGACCATCAGTCACCAGGAACAGTGCCTCAGGCTCTCCCACGTGTAGATGAGGTATCTCCAAGCTCTCAGACCAAGCCAATAGGCGTTATCTGCTGCCAGACCCTAACCCGCCCTGAAACTGTATATAAGGGCTCTATTCAGCAGAAATAAAGGTGTGTTCGAGAATCATCCTGGTGTCTGAGAGTTTCTGTAGCAAGAGCTGTAACACTAGAGCTGTAATACTTGGGGAGAGATCTGCTCTCCCGGAACCTTCCTGAGGCACCAAGCTGCTTCCTTGCCAGCTAGCCGGCTTCCCATCAGCCCAGCCCGGGTCAGCTCAGTGCTGAGAGACAGGTGAAGCACCTGAGAATGACCAAGCGGCGGCAAAGTCTCGGGCAGAGGCAGCAGTGGGGGCAGGCAATCTCTCCTCCCTGCTCACACTCTGTACCATTTGGCCCAGACCTCTCACACCAGGCCTGGCCGGAGACCAACGGACAGTGGAGACGCAGGCAGAGGCAGCGGCAGAGACGGTAGCAGACCCTCCCTGCTCTCACTCTGTCCTCAGCCAGGAGATCATTGTGGGACACCTTCTGGAACTGGGGACCCACACTCCATCTTTTTTCTCAGCAGTTCAGTCCATAGCAAACACCAAAAACAAATCAGCAGTTGCAGACTAGTCTTCTAGGCAGGCAGATACCAGGCACGAACCAGCAACTTCAGTCGTCTGGAAGGAACCACAAGGCTTGCCAACTTGCCTGATGTGAAGCCTCGGAGGCAGCAAGAGGCAGCAGGAACTCACCAGCAGTTCTTGGGTGAGTTTCTCTTGGAGGCATTATCACAAGTTGAGCTCAACAATGTTATGTAAGGTGAACTAATATGTCAAAGTGAACCAGGCTTTCACAGACAGAGGTGAAGGAAAGCTGTACCGACACATTGAAATTCCTCCAGGGATATTTTGAATTCTTAGTCTCATTAATAAAATAATTTAGAAATGGACTTAGAGGAAGTTCAAGTAAATTTTTTATTAGTTAAAGATTTTTAATTATATTTTTATTTACCTCGTGTGTATACATATATGTGTGTGCACACATATGCAGCGGTGCACATGTAGAGTCCAGAAGTTCTCTCCTTCCACCATCTGGGTCCTGATCATTAAACTTAATGTGTGAGGCTTGACAGCAGGCACCTATAGCCACTGAGCCACCTCAGCACATCTTTGTAGTATTTAGGAAAAAGATAATGGGGAAAAAATTATAAATCTCCATAGCTGCTAGAAGGAGAGAGGTGGAGAAAAGGAAGAAGAGTCATCCTCAACTCCATTTTGGGGACAGCGTCTCATTCTGTAGCTTTGGTTGACCTGGAACTTGCTATGTAGACTAAGATAACCTCAAACTCACAGAGATCCACCAGTATTAACAGTGTGACAACCATACCTGGTGAGTCATGCTTTGTAAGTTGGGCATCGAGATTCAATCTGTGGGACATGAAGAAGGAAATGTTATGTCCTTTGAGTTAGAGCTCTGCAAAGCACGTAGGTTTATCAGGGAACATCTGCAAACTCCTGCACCAGGGAGAAGCTTATGGAAGGATTCACTGTCTTAATAAGGGAACACTTATTCTCCCTATCTTAGCATGGCTTCAAGTTGAATCAGCTTTCCTGATGCATGTCTCTCAGACAGGTGACTTTTGAGCCCCACTGCATGAACCCTTAAAGGAGGGTGAGTAGGATGCAATATTCCAATTTTTGGAGCAGATCAGAATGCCTGAGGCTGAACTCAGATTGCATTCATTTGATGGGGAAGAAATAGTTCACATTAATTAGCCTCAACAAAGCCTTGAAACTGCCACTTTTTCATATGGTATTTTATATCTTAAAAGGGACGGTTGTGAACCTTCCCTTCCGAATGCTACCAGGGAAACCACAAATGTGATTCAGAACTCACTATGAGGAAAGAGTCCATCCCAACGTTGATTGTTCTGTCTAGCTGCCTAACAAAGTGACAGTCATTAGATAGTTTACACTAAGTAACTTCTCAGTTTGCCTTAATATACCACCACTGTTCATTATGCAGGTTGTTTTGGAAGAAAAGGTTTCTTGCTGGGTGTGGTGGGACATAATTTTAAGGAAGCACAGTTAGACAGATCTCTGTGAGTTTGAGGTCAGTTTGCTCTACACAGCGTGTTCTAAGATAGCCAGGGCTATAGTTGGCCACCCTGTCTCAAAAAAAGGAGAAGAGTCTCACACACACACACACACACACACACACACACATATACCTTTTTCTTTTCTCTCTTTCTTTCTTTCTTTCTTTCTTTCTTTCTTTCTTTCTTTCTTTCTTTTTCTTTTTTTCTTTTTTTGGTTTGGTTTTTTGAGACAGGGTTTCTCTGTGTAGCCCTGGCTGTCCTAGAAGTCACTCTGTAGACTAGGCTAGCCTCGAACTCTCGAACTCAGAAATCTGCCTGCCTCTGCCTCCCAAGTGCTGGGATTAAAGGCGTGTACCACCTCCGCCTGGCATACACCTTTTTCAAAGAAGGTATTTCATATAGTCTAAGCTGGCTTCAAATTCCCTATATAGCCAACCGGAGCAATGAATAGGATTCAAGGTTATGGTGGTTTAACTAAGAATGACCACTATAGGCTCCTATGTTAAATGCTTGGTGTCTGGTAAGTGGAACTATTTAGGAAGGATTAGGAAGTGTGGCTTTGTTTGAGTGGGTGTATTTGATGTTTCAAAAGTCTATTCCTGGCCTAGTTTCTCTCTTTCTGCCTGGTGCCAGTGGATTATGCTGTAAAGCTGTTAACTACTGCTCCAGGGCCACACCTATCTGCTTCCTTCCATGATGAACATGGACTAACCCTCTAAAACGCTAAGCAAGCCCCAAATTAAATGGTTTCTAAGAGTTTCCTTGGCTATAGTGTTTCTTTACGACAATAGATTTACAGCACTACAAGTACCCTTCTTTAGAATGTTTGCATATCTGCTCTAAGGAAGAGCAAATGACCTATGCAAATCACACCAGATGGGCTTTTTCCTACACAAATATTACCCTGGTGATTTAAATAACGACTTCACAATAGGCCTAGCCCACTCGAGATTTTGCATCAGAAAAATAAGAAGTTCAAGGTTATCTTCCTCTATATCCATAATTTGAGGTCTGGGCTATGTGAAATTCTGTCAGAAAAAAAAAATATAAAAATAAATAGGTCCAAGGTTTGATTCCCAGTATTACTATGATACACAAGTATAATCTCAGCAATTGAGAGGCACAGGTGATTTCAAGGTCATCTTTTGTGAGAAGCGCTGAGATCTGTGCTCACAGATAAGACCTGGGGGAACCAGGAACGTTAAACTCACAGTGTTGTCTCTTCAAAGGGAATCATGTATAATCTGTTTCCTACGTAAAAGGCTGGGAGCAAATGTGGTTAATAGCCTGGTGACATTGCACTTATTTGTGTGACACAGACCACATTAGATCTTCCCCAGACCCTTATCATGAGCTTGTAAATCTATGAACCCATCAAGATGGACAGTGTCACGTGTGGTCTGGTCTCTAGAAACCATCTTGTTTAACATTGTATTTGTGAATTTCATATCATATATCCCAATCCCAGTCATCTCCTTGTCTCTGTGTACCTGCCTTACAAGCTTCTGCCCAAAGGAGAAACAAATCTCTCCTGTGGAAGCTGTAGTGTGTCACGGTGTGTCCCACAGTATACCTGTAGTCCACACTTTACTTGCAAATGTTCATTACAATGAGTCTTTGGTCTGGTTTGAGGCCTCTGGCTCCTGCTACACCATCAATACTATATCCTCATGGGGACTGTTCTCAGATATCCTGCTGTTTCCCTGTGTCATGGGAATCCTGCAGCTTTGGATCTGTAGGACTGGCCACTCCAGGTGCTCCAGCAATTCATAGATGGGGTAGATGTTGGGGTGGGCCAACACAAAGCCCTGGATTCAGACCTGGGTGTTGGCTAAGCTAGTCATCCCACCAGCTCTCCCAAAGCCACACCACCAGGGTGAGCTCTCCAGCACTGCCCTGGCTAGCTCATCCAATGCCTCAACCAGAAAGGGGTAGAACCAGCTCTTCCACTCTTCTGTCCTTGGGACTGGCTCACCTGTACCCATTCCAGCAAGGCCAGCTCTGTTGTGCTGCCTAGGAGAGGTACAGGGCCTGCTCTCCCAAATGTTGTAGAATTGGAGGGGCAGGGCCAGCTCTCTGACTCTCATGAACTTGTGGCCCACTCTCCTGCCTGCCATAGGTAGGGTGGTGCGTGTGTCAGGGTATGGATCCTCACCACACTAGAACCTATCTTTATGAAAGATGCAATATGCACATTACAGAGAGTTGCAATATCGTTGTGTTTTAAGCTTTATTGTGCACCTGAGATTTAGTTACTAACCAGGAAAAATTTCACCAGATTGTACTGTGCTTAAATAGGAATATGCTTCAAATAAATTATTAAGGGCCAGAACTCCAAAGTTTGAATAAGCACTGGCTACTACTGTCTTGCCTCTGATGGGTCGTTACTCTGCTGGCTATGGTATTCCCAGACACTTCCTTAATCTTTAGCTGACCAGCAAGATGGAGGCGCAAGGTGCCTAAGGAGGTACAAAGTGACTTTCTGTCCTTTGCCTCAGACCCTGTAGTCTCACAATGATAATGCCTAAGAGGACTTGGCTTGCCAACTATAAACTCCTTAAGGAGGGATTGATGGTGGCTGGAAAAGGTGTCCAAAGGCCCAAATGACCTTAGCTGGAAGACAAGAAGGTGTCCAACCTTCATGTACTGACTGACACACAGTGTATCAAGTCTTGAGAGCCTATGGGAAAGAGCAGTTTGACTGGAGACATTTCTTATGGCACCTTACCGATAAGAGCATCTTAAACCTCCACCCACCTCTGGAGATTATACCTGCCACTCTGTGCTGCAGCCTTCCTGAGACTGGTAGGCCTCTCCCACAAAGATCTGGAGGGTGAAGACCTACAGAAGTAGCAAAAGGGGTTGGGGTGGATAGAGACACCTACAGAAGGAGCACTGTGTCCCCAGGAATGACAGGAAAGAAAGAAAGGAAAAAAAATAAGGTGTTGCCAGGTGTATTAGTTAGGGTTTTACTGCTGTGAACAGACACCATGACCAAGGCAACTCTTATAAGGACAGCATTTAATTGGTGTTGGCTTACAGATTCAGAGATTCAGTCCACTATCATCAAGGCAGGAACATGGCAGTGTCCAGGTAAGGCATGGTAGAGGAGAAGCTGAGAGTTCTATATCTTCATCTGAGGGCTGCTAGCAGAATACTGGCTTCTAGGCAGCTAGGATGAGAGTCTTAAAGTCCACACCTATAGTAACACACCTACTCCAACAAGGCCACACCTTCTACTAGTGCCACTCCCTGGACTGAGTATATACAAACCACTACATCCCACTCCCTGGCCCTCATAGGCTTGTTCAAACACATGAGTCTATGGGGGCCATACTTACCCATAGCAATATAATAATAATAATGATAATAATAATAATAATAATTATTATTATTATTATATTTAGTCCAACTTCCAAAGCCCTCGTAGGCTATAGCAGTCTCAACAATGTTAAAAATCCAAAATTCAAGCCGGGCAGTGGTGGTACATGCCTTTAATCCCAGCACTTGGGAGGCAGAGGTAGGCAGATTTCTGAATTCGAGGCCAGCCTGGTCTACAGAGTGAGTTCCTGGATAGCCAGGGCTACACAGAGAAACCCTGTCTCAAAAAAAAAAACAAAAAAAACAAAAAACAAAAAAACCCCAAAGTTCAAAGTCTCTTCTGAGATTCATTCAATCACTTAACTGTAATCCCCAAAGCAAAACAGGAAACCAGCAGAGCAAACTCCAATCTCTGCATCTCCAGTTCTGATGTCAAAGCAGTCCTCAGATCTCCACCTCCCTTTTCATCATTGTTGACTGCAACAAACTTCTTTCTCCTGGGCCGTTTCTACTCCTGTTAGCATTCCTCTGCAGAGAGCCCACAGTTTCGGCATCTCAAACATCTTGGGGTCTCCAAGGCAACTTTAATGTTACAGCTTCTTGTTCCAATATCTGGGATCCACACATGATCTTCTGGGCTCCTCCAAAGGGCTGGCATCATTTCTCCAGCTCTGCCCTCTGTAGCACTCTAAGCTCAGGCTGATCCACTCCCACTGATGTTGTTGTTCTTGGTGACCATCCATGGTACTGGCATCTCCAATACACTGGAGTCTTCCACAGCAACTAGGCTTCACCAATAGCCTCTCAGGCTCTCTTCATGGTGCCTTGCCTCAGCTCCTTTGCATGACCCCTTCAGTCCTCAGCTGTCAACTACAGCTGAGGCTGCACCTTCACTAATGGCCTTCCATGACCTCTCACAGTGCCAAGCCTCAGCTGTTCTCCATGACCCCTTTATGCCTTCAAAACTAGTACCACCTGGGTGACTCTTACACATTACCAAGTATAGATGCAGCACAAGGCACAGCCTTGGCTATCTCTGAAACACAGCTTCTTTGTACTCTCAGAAAACACTTCCCAGATTTCACCTCAGTGATGCTGATCTCTTCTTCTTTTTTTTTTTTTTTTTTTTTTTTTTTTTTTTTTTTTTTTTTTTTTTTAACTTGGGATAGCTTTAATACCGTATTTCAGAGGTCTGGGGGTTGCTTGTTCAGTACTCACCCCCTTCCCAGTTCAGCCCCGCTTCTATGACCTCACCACCCACCCGAGGTGCAGGCCACGACCTTCTCCACTCCATGCGCCTTCATGGCTGCCACAATGTTTTGGGTGCCCTCGGACATTACTGTAGTGGGACCTTAGAGGGGACAGAGAGTGGCTGTCACTGGCAGGTGGCGGTGGTGGCGGCGGCAGGGGTGGCAAGGGTGGGGCTGGGGGCGGGGGTGGTGCTGGAGACCGAGGTGCAGGGAGGGGCCGAGGGCAAAGGGGGGGCTCAGTACTGAGGTCGTTGCCAGTGCCCAGTAGGACGATGACAGCATCCTGCCCAGCCACAGTCTTGTCCACATCTGCCGCCTGCAGAACATCTCCCACCACCACGTGGGCTGGCTGGGCCCCCTCTGACCGCAGCCTGCTGGATTCTCGAACCAGCACCGTCACCTCATAACCTGCTTGCACCGCCTGCGCCAGTGTGGTGAGCCCGGTCCTGCCGGTGGCACCGAAGATCGCGATCTTCTTGACAGTCATGCTTCAGGGTCCAGGGCCCGAAAAGCTGAGAACTCGGAGGACGCGCGGGAACCCCGCTGATCTCTTCTTAATCACTACTAATTTCTTAGCTCAAATTAGCCAGCATCAATTTCCCAATAATCCTTTCTATTCATTCTTGACTCTAAAGCCACAGCTGCTGAGTTCTGCTGCTTGCTGGGGCTGGAATATCCCCCTCCCCCTTTTTTATCACCAGCTTTCTGTTTTCTAACTCCCTCACTGCCTACGCTTGGTTTTCCTGGAACTTGCTCTGTAGATTGACCTTGAACTCAGAGATCTGTATGGCTTTGTCTCCCCGGATTAAAGGTGTATATACCACCATGCCTGGATTTAAGCTTTTCTTCACCCAGAACTTGCTCTTTCCCAGACTGGCCTTGAATTTAGAGATCTACTTGGCTTTGTCTTCTGGGATTAAAGGTATGTAGCACAGTGCCTGGCCCTAAATTTAGCTGGGTGGGATCTTGCCCCAAGGTCACCACTCCCTTAATTCAATTTAATATCCTGGAAACAGGATTCAGCTCCATTTCATTTCCTGATGCCCCTTTAATACTCAAACCATATATTCTATATTTTTCCTTTCTAAGCTTGCTATGCTTGTTCAAAATGCTTTTCATGAGACTTAACCAGAGAACAAAGTCTCTACTGGGTTTTGTTGAGATTTCCTTTGTCAATGCAATTAATATAAATCTTTTTTACCTTAGTCTCAGGTAGACTCTTCAAACAAGGGCAAATGCAGCCACATTTTTCACAAAAATACCACAAAACAGTCTCTAGGTCACATGCTCAAACTCTTCTCCTCTGAACTCTTTTGGGCCAAGTCTGCACAGTTCGAATCACTCACAGCAACAAAGTCTTCCATGTTCCTACCAGGTAGGCTCATTAAGCCTCACTTAAAGCATTCCAGTGCTTTCCAAACAAAAGCTTGGTCAGGCCTATCTCAGCAATACCCCATTCCTAGTACCAACTTCTGTCTTAGTTAGGATTTTACTGCTGTGAACAGACACCATGACCAAGGCAACTCTTATAAGGACAACATTTAATTGGGGCTGGCTTACAGGTTCAGAGGTTCAGTCCATTATCATCAAGACAGGAACAAAGCATTCAAGCAGGCATGGTGCAGGAGGAGCTGAGAGTTCTATATCTTCATCTGAAGGCTGCTAGCAGAATACTGGCTTCCAGGAAGCTAGGATGAGGGTCTTAAAGCCCATACCCACAGTGACACACCTACTCCAACAGGGCCACACCTTCTACTAGTGCCGCTCGCTGGGAAGAGTACATACAAGCCATCACACTAGGTATGGTGGTACATTCTTTTAGTCTTTAATTCCAGAACTTGAGAGGCAGATGTAGGTAGATCTCTGTGAGTTCCAGGCCAGAGTTCCAGGCCAGCCAGAGCTACATGATGACAGATCCTATCTATCTGGGTGTTTTGGGCCACCCAGATAGCACAAGGTCACCAGGCTATTAACCACATCTGCCTTCTGGACAGAAAACAGGTTATGATTTTTAGTGTACAGGCAATTCCATTGGCTTGCTTTCAGGCACCTAGCCACTGTTTATGTTATCACCTGCCACCATCCGCTAAGGCAGGTTTGTGCAGCAAATACAAGGATCCGCTGCTACCCTAGCTTTCTCTATTTTTGGTGGCTCCATCAGTGCCCTGTCTCTCTCCCTCTATGCTCCATCTAGGCCCTCAAGGCTCTCTTGCTGTCTCTACCCCTTCCAAGTCCTCACTCTTCTCCTCTCCCCCAGGAAACCTCTCTTATACCAAATCTGTGGCGTGGTGCAGTTTCTCAGGGGTGCACCTGGGCTCAGCCCACTGAAGGTGCCCTAGCAACATTGTGTTTTTATAACAGTGATGAATATTAATATTGACTATCAACTTAGAGGATCCACAATTACCCAGGAAACAAATCTCTCAGCAGTGGACAGTCAGGGTGGAGGGTACACGCTGCTGTTCAACAGTGCTGGCTCCCAGTTCTGCTCAGTCAAAGTTCTTGGATGTGATAGCAGAACAATCAAAACTTCTCTTTCCTTTCTGCTCAGATGTGAGGGAGTGACGTGGGCGTTTCCAGCTTTGTGCCTGTGCCACCAGAGAGTCACCTGCACCCCCTTACCTTCTCAGTCTTGATCGACTGTCTCCCCTCTAACTGTGAGCCAAATGAATTCTCTCTGTCAGATATTTGGTCATAGAAATTGGAACAATAGGTAATTTTATGAAATATAATGCAGCAAAGTGGGTGGGACCTTTGGGTCCAAGCCCTGAGAAATTATGCCTTGCAACAGATCTGGCGTCAAAGAGGTTTGCTGCAGGAGGGAAGGGAGTGGGGATATGGGGAAGGGATAGAGGCAGACAAGTGGACATGTAGACAGGCAGGGAGCAGAGTCCTGACCAGAGAAGGGGGGGGCAGGAAAGAAAAGAGGGAGTTGTGCATAGAGAGAGGGAATGCCAGAAACAGAGAGAGACACAGGAGGGCAGAGAAAGAGAGAGAGATCTGGCGTGGCTGGGGACCCTTTTGTCACCATACCCACCTGGGGAAGGGGGAGGGGGGCCCCTGGCAGGGATGACTGAATGGATCCTAGATCCTTGGGGGCAGGCCAGTAGAATCGCCTGTATGCTAACAAGTGCATTCTACATACACAGTACATTAGCGCTGCTTTATATAAAGACATAAAACTTGATCTCCTTATTTTTTATTTGCTTATTTATTAGATTTTGCAGTTCTAGACACGGCACTAGGTTTTGTGCATGTTAGACAATAAATTTGTATTTAAGGAGGGGTGAGGGCAGAAGTAGTTGAACACACACCTTCAGTTTCAGCATTAGGAAGGCACAGGCTGCCTTTTGAGGGCTACATAGAACCCTGTCTCAAAAAAAAAAAAAGAAAAGCCAAATAAACAAGAGGGAGACAGAGACAGAGACAGATAAGAGAGGGAGAAGAGAGGGAAGGAGAATGGGGAGAGACAGAGAGAGGGCAAGGGGAGCGAAGAAGGGAGAAGAAAGAGAGCAAAATATTAAAAAAAAAAAAAGCTAATATCTACTGGCAGTGTTCCTTAGAAATTGCCACACCCTTACTTCCTGCCTGGAAAGCAATTTCCTTGACTAACCTGTTAGACTGCCTTTTGTTTCTTTCACTCTGTATGGAATTAACTCATTTATTGAAACTACCCATGAGCCTCCCAAAGCTCCCTTCTTGATTAGACACAGACCACACCCAAGCACCAGTTTCCAACACAAAGAGATCACCAAGCACGTGGCTTACAGTGATAGTATTCTGCCTTGTGGCTGAACCAACCTTGGTTCGAATCCAAATCATGTCACCCATGTTGTGTTTTATAAAAAGAAAGAAAGAACCAGGGTATGTTTGGTATAGGCATGGTATGTGTTAGACTTCAGCGCAGCTTAGAACAGACAACACCAGACCAAATGGTTGGGGGAGGGGATGTTATTCAGGAGATAGGGCAAAGGTGGGGGGAGAGAAACAGAAGAAGATGGCGGGGAAAGAGAGGGGGAGAGAGGAGAGAGAGAAGTAGAGGCTGGCCATGACCACATGGAAAGAGGGGGAAGGGAAGGGGAGAGGGGTGAGGGGACAGGGGGAAGCTAGAGGCAAGAGAGCAAGAGATTAAGAGAGTAAGAGAGAGAGGAGGAGGCAAGCAGCCCCTTTTATAGTGGGCAGGCCTACCTGGCTGTCGCCAGGTAACTGTGGGGAGGAGCATGCCTGTCTGTTGCCAGGTAACTGTGGAGGTGCAGTTTAGACAAAATACTAACAGTATGGTGAGGTGGAAGGGGGTGCCTTTGTGGGCCCATGCTGAGGCATCCCTTCCCCCTGAGGTACCAGCCACTGTGATGGATATAGTATGGAAGAGAGTTTATTTAGGGCATGGGGAGGGGAGTTGAGGATGTTGTAGAGACAGAAAAAGGCAGAGATAGATAGATAGATAGATAGATAGATAGATAGATAGATGAGGCTGGCCATGACCATGTGGAGAGAGGGGGGAAGGGAATGGGGAGAGAAGGAACAAAAGGAGTAAGAGAGTGAAGAGGGGACAAACAACCCCATTTACAGTGAGTCAGGCACACCTGGCTGTTGCCAGGTAACTGTAGGGTGGAGCCTAGAAGGAATGCTAACAAGGGTGGCTGAATCTGAATCCAGAAAGAGCAGGAGGTAATTCTGTAGGAGCAATTTTGGTGGCAAAAGGAAGAAGTCCATGCTAGGAAGAGTTGGTCAGCCCTGGTTGAACGTGTTTGTCAGTGTAGCCAGATAAGTAAATTTGAAGCTAGACCTTGGTGGTCAGCATCAGAAATGAGTCAGACATGAGTAAGTGTAAAAATAATAAGTCTAGTGGGGAATATAGTAGTTTAGAAAAAGGGAAGGGCAGGGAGGGACAGGACCCCACAGTACCAGTTTTTCCATGTTTGGGTCTGTTTGAGCAGTTCATTTCTTGTCCTTGTTGGTGACTAAATTGTGTCCCACTCAAAATTCCTTTGATGTATATGTTTATGTATGTACAGGTGTAGAAGCTTGAAGACAACTTTCAGGAGTCAGATTGAAGCAGGCAAGCATAGCCACCGTCTGTTTCTGAGGCAAGGTTCTTAGTTTTCTTCTGCTGGATTGGATACTCTAGGTTAGCTAGTATTAGGACAAAGGAGTCAAAAGGGTAGCTTGGTGGGTTGGAGCCAAGAAACACAACAAAGTCACACCATGCAACTGATCTAGTGCAAGAGCTTTATTGAGGGAGGTTGGAGATCAAAAGAGAGATCAAGAGGCATGGAGAATAAGTGTAACAAGACCGAGAGGATGAGAGAAACAGACACACACACACACAGAGAGAGAGAGAGAGAGAGAGAGAGAGAGAGAGAGAGAGAGAGAACAAGAAAGAGGGAATGAGGGAGAGAGGAAAGGGGAGAAGAGGGAGGAGGGCAGGAATAGGGGAAGGGGAAGAGGGAAGGGTTAGTGGGGAGGAAGGGAGAGATCAAGAAATGGTAAACAAGGGAGAGAGAGGAGTGAAGGAGAAGGAAGAGAGGAGGAATCAGGGA